TTATTATTATTATTATTAATTTCAATGAACATCTACACAGATTTTGGAATTCCATTCATTCATTGTTGCACTTTTCTCCCCACCCACTCACCCTCACCACCACCCCCAGTTCACTCCTCTCCTTGAAAAGCAAAAGAAAAACTCCTTCATTGGTACACAATCCCCCAACCCCGCACCTCCCTTTTTTAAAAATGAGTACAGATGTGATTCTTTTCAGATCATCTGGCAATGCAATAATCTTCCAAATTTCTTATTGTAGATCAATGACACATCAAGAGCATATTTGTTTACTGAAACAGCACAATTGATAGTCCATTAACTCTTTAAGCTATATTTTTGGCCAATGCTTTTTGTGCAGCTTGAACATGTTCCTTTAGCTCCATTGGTTCTTAATCATATGCTATTTGTTGCAATAGTTCAGGATCCACCTTTTTTTTGTTTGGTACAATGATTTTGTGTATTTCTTTTATCTTCTTTTAATATTCTAATTATTAAAGGATATTTACAGCTGATTTTTGTTTTGAGACCTATCACACCAGCAAATGAAGATCCTTCACTGGGTAAAATGTTATTCCATGCAGTATTTCCAATGTCTCAGACCCTGAAATGTCATCTGCTAGCAGGATATCCATCAAAGTACATTTTGTATTCAAGAGTCCACTAGTTAGAGTCAGATTGCCAGTTCCGTTTCTTAGTCTTTTTGATTCTGGAAGTTCTGTTGAAGCCTGAATAACCTAAGCAAATAAGGTAGTATTATAAGTACTTGTTAAAGAGCTTCCAGAATCACAGCAGCAGGAAAGCCTTCACAGTACGGCAAACTAGCAGATGAGTAGTGGAAAGTGAGTACAGAATGCTTGTAACTGGTTGCATGATCATAATATTAGAAATTATTTTAAGATAGTGATAAGTCATTTACTATTTTATTACATATACTATAAGAGGAAAATAGACAAATGATAAAGAACAAAGTACATTTTAATTCCATTTTTTGGTGTACCATTTCTTTTAGTTAGATTTTAGGGCTAGTTCCTTATGTACTCTGCCTTAATTCTTCCATATTAATTAGGATAATAACACCTCTAGAAATTTTGAAAGGTGCTCTAGTGGTTGAGTTTAACATATTGGGCTGTTAAATGAGAGGTGAGCAATTGGAATCCACCAGATGCTCCATGGAGAAAGATGGACAGTTTCCTCTCATAGGATTTAACGTTTTAGGAACCATTTGAAGGCCTCTATGAATCTAAACTGACTCTATGAAAACTAATTTGAGTTTAGAGACTTTGAAGAATTGAATTAGATTTCTTTCAGTATAATAACTGTCATGAGCCAGGTTTTTAGTAAATATTAATAAAAAATTTAATGAAGCTTCGGTGGTCTAGTGGCAAGAAGCTATGCTGCAATCCCGAAGGCATGTTGCTCAAGGTGACTAGCTGCTCCATGGGGTAAGTATGGGCTATCCCTTCCCACGTAATAACTGCCTCTAAAAACCTGCCAGAAGGTCAGCTATGGATCAGTTCTGAGTCTATGACATACAACAAAAATTTAATTCCATTAAAGACAGATAAAGTATAATTTGATAACATCCAACTTTATTTGATAAATATTACCTTCTCTAGAAGTTCAGTGACACAACCCTGCCTGCTGAAACTGAGGAGGACCTCATGCACTTGCTGCAGAGGGTCAAGGACTGCAGCCTTCAGTATGGACTGGACTCAATGTCAAGAAGACAAAGATTCTCACCACTGGACCAATCGGTAGCATCAGGATGGATGGCGAAGAGATTGAGATTGTTCGCCGCTTCAGTTT